TTGTATTCCTAGATTTTTCATAAACTGTCGCCTGGTTGTGATATAATTGTTGGTATTACTTCTATACACTATTTCGGAATTTATACCTACAATGTTAAGTATTGAGTAAAAAACTGTAAGGGTCCGCCGCTGGGAATTCCGTGAAACATTGTAAGTAGCTGAAAGTTTGTCGAGTGTATCAACTCCTCCTTTGGTTAAATTATAAAAGCTGATAATGTCAGGCTTCTGTTTATCTCCAGTCTTACCATCAATATTATCGTTGTGATGAAAGGTAGACCATACTAACACGTTTTTGTTCTTTTTTGCTGTATAGGACACCACAGTGATTTCTTTTCGAAATGCAAACATACTCGAAGGTAATGGTCTCCCTGCCGTAGACACAAGGCATGGTGGCAGTTCCTTTTTATTTTTACGAACAGTACCCACAGATGTTATTCCATGTTCTCGCAACAATCGTTGCATTAGGCTGTAGCTGGTAAACCAGTGATCAAAAGTGACATTACGACCACTTTTTGATACTAGTTCTATCATCCTAAGAACTATATCTTCGGGTTTGTTACTCTTCCTAAATGGTCCCTCGGGTTGAACGCCTACGTAGACCTCCATATTTACTGCATAAAAAGTCCTAGCGTCAGTCAAGGTAAATATTTTAATGCCATATTTTGCAGGCTTTCTGGGAGTATATTGCCGAAATGGGCAATTACTGCGAAAAGCCTGCAGTTGTTCATCAATAGTAAGATATTCACTAGGAGAGTAAGTATGCTTACAGTTGTGGACAAATGTGTCAAAAACTGTTCTAATTGGTGCAAGTTTGTCTGTTTGCAATCTATCATTTCTAGTATTATGATTGTTAAAACACAAAGAACACAAAATAAAATAGTTTTTCTAAATATAGGTATTCCAGTGTCGTCAATGGCCCACAAATCTTTCAAATTTTGACGACCAGACCTNTTCCTTCAATTTTTTATAGGGTTCGTGGGATGGTGGAGACAATGCGATATCCTTAACTTCTATTACGTGTTTCGGATCAAGGGCGCTCAGGATATAACCGAATTTTGTGGTTTCGGCTGAAACTCCACTAACTTCGAAATTTCTCTCCACTATCGCGAACCAAAGTTCAGGCTCTGCGGGCATGAATGCTGGGAGACGAACCGACACACGGTCTATTTGTGGGGAATTGTCTTGAGCCATTTTTGGTCACCGCCAGAAAATTTGCGCACTTTAACACACACACGCGCGTAAATTATTACCGACGCGGATAATCACTTTTATTCGCGCACTGATCACGTCGGGGTCACCTTTTTCGGGATCGTAGCGCAGCGTGAATAAAAATGATCTGGGCCGGTAGCTCAATGAAAGAAAATAAAACGGCGGCAAAGTCTTTGGAATGTTTATGTACAGGAGCGATAACTGGTCGCATGGACGGTCTAGTACCAAGTGAAAAACTTACATCTAAATTACTATACTATACACCAAGTTAACCCCCTGCGCGTCTCTTTCCCTCCGGTATGAGACGACGAAAAAGAACCGGATGAATGTAATAAAAATTAGAAAGTTATCTCTGCTAAAACGCATTTTGCTAGAAAACTGTTTGTTACCCTTCGGCCGCTTCGCTACCCTTGGAAGTGCAGGTAGTCGAAGGCTTTCGAAGTTTTGTGATAAATTCGGCGGGAAAAAGACGCAGAAGGTTAAATATTCTATTTACAAATTCTACGAACTACAAACGGCTTAAATACAATTTGGCCCGAGGGTAACTAGCGTGACCGCTACAGTACCCCCTTGCCAGTGATTATGTCACGATACTGAAAAGAGATATTTATATATACAACTGAAAGAAAAAAATGTATGTACAACTTATGCTATGAAGAACGTAAAAGTAATGCTATATATTATTACAGATTGGTCTATACAATGTTAACGACCTTAGCATCCAGCTTGGTAACGGTCGGGGAATCTAACACGTCTACCTGATCTTCGGGGGTTGTCGTTGTGCTCAGCTGGTTGTAGATTTGCGGGACATTGCGGATAGCTTTGTTGTTGTCTTTGGCAATCGTCTAATATGTATGCTGGCTTCAGGCGGTCGATTGACACCGTAGTATTTCTTCCATTCATAAATACTACGAATGTCTTTAACCCTCGGTCGATGACTTTAAAGGGTCCGTTGTATGGCATTTGCATGGCATTTCGGTGGGCATCATGGCGAACGAAAACATATTTGCTTGTTTGTAAGTCTTTAAATAAAAAGATCTTACGTTGTCCATGCGATGTCGGGTTTGTCGGTCGAACTTCTTGGAAATGCTGGCGTAGTTGTTGTATGAAGGTGGATTCGTCGCATCCTTCAGCTGATTTGACCAGAAATTCCCCTGGGAGTCGCAGTGGCTCGCCGTACACCATTTCCGCTGTTGTCGCTTGCAGGTCTTCTTTGAAAGCTGCCCGTATGCCTAGTAGAACTGTGGGTAGAATTGCAGTCCATTGATTGTTTTGATGGCACCGTATGGCAGCTTTCAATTGGCGATGCAACCGTTCCACCATGCCATTTGCCTGAGGGTGAAACGCAGTTGTGTGAATATGAGTCGTACCAGTTAAGCGGTTCAACGACTTAAACAAGTGCGACTCAAACTGCCGACCTTGGTCTGTTGTTAATCGTACAGGCACCCCGAACCGACAAATCCAGCCTTCGTAAAAAGTACGTGCGACTGTCTCCGCTTCCTGGTTTGGCATCGGGAAAGCCTCAGGCCAGCGAGTGTAGCGATCCACGCAGGTAAGGCAGTATTTATTGCCTTCTGAGTACGGTATTACGATTATGTCCACATGGACATGCTCGAAACGGGCTGTGGGGGTTGCAAAACTTGCGACAGGTGCCGAAACGTGGCGTGAGGTCTTTGACCGTTGGCACTGTACACAGGCTCGTGCCCAGGTCTGGCAGTCTTTTTTCATTGACGGCCATACGAAACGTTGTGTCACAAATTTTGCTGTAGCTTTAACTCCGGGATGCGACAAGTTATGTACGGAGTTAAAAGCTACCTGACGAAACGGTTCTGTTAAGAAGGGCCTTGCTGTTGACGTAGAGAGATCGCAGAAAACTTCTGAATTAGTTCCTGGGATTGCTACTTTTTTTAGGTGAAGGCAGGAACCTTGTTGCATGAATGTTTGCAATTCTTCATCCTTTTCCTGCGATTTTGCGAGACTCTCGTAGTCAACTGTCGCGGTGACCGCCTCAACTCGCGAAAGCGCATCGGCCACTACATTGTCTTTACCGGAGATGTGTTTTATATCTGTAGTAAATTGGCTGATATAGTCCAGGTGCCTACACTGTCGCGGGGAAGCTTTCTCTGGTTTCTGCCGAAAAGCGAAAGTTAACGGTTTATGGTCCGTAAATACCGTGAACACGCGAGCTTCCACCATATGTCGAAAATACTGCACTGCCAGGTATATTGCCAGTAACTCGCGGTCGAAGGCACTGTATTTTTGTTGTGTTTCGCTTAGTTTTTTCGAAAAGAAACCCAGAGGTTCCCACTTATTGTTTATATGTTGCTGCAGCGTAGCACCGACGGCATTGTCTGACGCGTCACACACGAGTGCCAGTAAAGCCCCAGGCTGGGGATGGGCGATTAACGTGGCTTCTGACAGTTCTTCTTTTGCCTTTAGAAAACACTCCGTAGCTTCAGGGGTCCAATCTACTGGTTGTTTACCTTTCTTTTTGTCGCGAAGGAGATTGTTAAGCGGCGCTTGGTATTCGGCGGTTTTAGGCAAACACACGCGGTAAAAGTTCAGCATGCCTAAAAACTGCCGAAGTTGTTTCGCGGTTTTTGGTTGTGGGAAATTCCGGATCGCTTCCACTTTGTCTGGCAGGGGACGAATGCCGTTACGCGTAACCAAAAAACCTAAAAACAACACTTCACACACACCGAACGCACACTTCGACGGATTTATGACCACCCCATACTCTTGCAGTCGTTGAAACAACTGTTGAAGATGCTGATGATGTTCCTCATCGTTCGCGGAGGCGACTAATATATCGTCCAGATAGGCGTAGCAGAAGTCCATTTCCCAGAGGACCTCATCTATAAAACGCTGGAACGTTTGGGCTGCATTGCGTAGTCCGAAACTCATATACGGGAACTCGAATAAGCCAAAAGGTGTTGTGATGGCTGTTTTACATATGTCCTCGTCGGCTACAGGGATTTGGTTGTAGGCCCGGACTAAATCGATTTTAGAAAAAATCTTTTTACCCCGGAGCTCCTGTGCGAAGTCCTGTATGTGGCGTACCGGGTAGCGGTCAGGTATTGTCCGCGCGTTAAGCGTCCGGTAGTCTCCACAAGGTCGCCATTCCTCGTCCTTTTTGGGTACCATATGTAAGGGCGCAGCCCAACTGCTGGATGACGGGCGCGCTGTTCCGAGTCGCATCATGGTTTCGAACTGTTTTCGCGCTGCTACTAACCTATCTGGAGCGAGTCGGCGGGGTTTGCTGACGGTGGGTGGTCCAGGGGTTGTATTTATGTAGTGACGTGTGGTATGCTTGATCTCGGGAGCACGTCCATCGGGACGTGTTATCTCGGGATATTTGGCTAACAGGTCATGATAAGGTGAATGCCCGTTAATCACTTTAACCGCCGCTACACTTGTCACGCACACCCGACCACGGGATGAGAGGTTCGTTTCCTGGTCTATCAACTGGCCACGTTTGATATCTACCAGTAACCCGTAATGAGCCAAAAAGTCCGCACCGATTATGGGCTTGGAGATATCCGCGATAACGAACTTCCAAGGAAACGAACGACGCAGTCCTAGGTTGAGAGAAAGGGTTGTGGTGCCGTAAGTCACGATGATCGAACCGTTTGCGGCCGCTAGTTCGTACGACGACCTTTTGAGTGGCCCACGAATTAATGTCCGGGGGTACACACACAGGTCCGCACCAGTGTCCACTAAAAAATCAGTCTTTGTCTCGCGATCGGTGACAAACAGACGGCGCGTTTTAAAATCCGGGTCACTTGCCGCCATCAGTGCCCGTTTGTTGCGTTTCCCGCGAAATTGCAGGGATGTTTGCATTTGTTTGCCCTGTTGCCAAACTGCCAATGATACCAGCACACTCCAGAAGCTGGTGGTTCGCGCGACCGCGAGCGACGGCGGCTAGTCGAACGAGACCGCGGGCGATGGGATTCCGGCGGTCTGTTGTCCCGAATAGCACTCACTTCCTGCCGTATGCTGGCTAATTCCTCCCGCAAGTGCAGCGTAAGCTGTGCTAACTGAATCTGCACTTGGGCCTCCAGGGATGGGCTTTGGGTCTCCGCAATACAGGGCGTTGTAATTTTCGTCGCCTCGTGTACGGCGTCTGCAAGATCAGCGACTTGGTCCAGACTGCTGTTTTTTTGGGTGGCTAGGATGGCCTGCAACGAAGATGGTAAACGGCCTAGCCATAGTGTCCGCACCACACTTTCTGATACGGCTGACCCGCCGAGATCCCGCAAGTGCCTCAAAAACTGCGAGGGCTTGCGGTCCCCGATCGCCTCGTGCTCCAAAAGCCGTCGCGTCCGTTCCTCCTGCGAGGAGCTGAGCCTCTTTATAAGCTCTTCCTTCAATTTTTTATAGGGTTCGTGGGATGGTGGAGACAATGCGATATCCTTAACTTCTATTACGTGTTTCGGATCAAGGGCGCTCAGGATATAACCGAATTTTGTGGTTTCGGCTGAAACTCCACTAACTTCGAAATTTCTCTCCACTATCGCGAACCAAAGTTCAGGCTCTGCGGGCATGAATGCTGGGAGACGAACCGACACACGGTCTATTTGTGGGGAATTGTCTTGAGCCATTTTTGGTCACCGCCAGAAAATTTGCGCACTTTAACACACACACGCGCGTAAATTATTACCGACGCGGATAATCACTTTTATTCGCGCACTGATCACGTCGGGGTCACCACTTTCGGGATCGTAGCGCAGCGTGAATAAAAATGATCTGGGCCGGTAGCTCAATGAAAGAAAATAAAACGGCGGCAAAGTCTTTGGAATGTTTATGTACAGGAGCGATAACTGGTCGCATGGACGGTCTAGTACCAAGTTAAAACTTACATCTAAATTACTATACTATACACCAAGTTAACCCCCTGCGCGTCTCTTTCCCTCCGGTATGAGACGACGAAAAAGAACCGGATGAATGTAATAAAAATTAGAAAGTTATCTCTGCTAAAACGCATTTTGCTAGAAAACTGTTTGTTACCCTTCGGCCGCTTCGCTACCCTTGGAAGTGCAGGTAGTCGAAGGCTTTCGAAGTTTTGTGATAAATTCGGCGGGAAAAAGACGCAGAAGGTTAAATATTCTATTTACAAATTCTACGAACTACAAACGGCTTAAATATAATTTGACTCGAGGGTAAGTAGCGTGACCGCTACAGACTCATTAGTTTCTTCATCAATAATATCCTGATCTGTGTCACTATTATGGTCACTTACAGTTACATTATCCATTTCTCCTTCATCACTACTTTGAAATTCATTTTCATCATCTACCTGAACTTCTTCCCATAAACCTTGAAGCCTTGCTTGTTCTTGTTCAAAACTTTCCATTTTCGACATAAAAAATTTCTAAGAAATAGTTTTAAGAAGACCCTATCAATGTTTATTTTAGTTATAACTGGTAAACCTGTGTGATTTCTTAACAAATAATAGGTTGGGTATTGAGTCTGGTGGGGTATGTCTAGCATGCCCAATTGTTTATTTAGAATACTTACACAAATGCGTTTGCTTGAGCACAAATAACCAAAGTAAGAGCGAATCGATTGGATCAGCTACCTAGAATATTAAGGCCGATTGCTTATTGGCTGAAGAATTACAACCCGTTTCATATATATCTGGGCTTGTCAGACCCCACCAGACATCCGAAAGGTTAACGATCTCCCTTCGCATACCAACCCAGAAGTAACGGGATGCGATGCAGTGCCATGACCGATCTACTTCGTAGTGTTCGGCGGTTGGGGCATCGTGATACTGTTGCAGAATTTCCTCCCGATTCTGGATCGGCACGACTAATTGGAGTTCCTCCGCGTCCATATCGGAAGCATAACGATACAGTACTCCTTGGGACACGAGGTATCTGCGAACAAGATGACGGCTTATCTCGAGTTCGTCTACATTGATGAACGCCTCCAGGATTTTCTTTAGGTCAGGGCCCTTCATTTGTTCGGACCGTGTTTTCGCAGAAGTACGTGCCGGATAGTCCACGCTTACTGTATTTATGGGGAGCACTTCCTCTTCGGAATAGGGAGGCCGTGATAGTCCATCTGCTACTATATTGACTCGGCCGGGCCCGTACTGGATAGAGAAATTGTAGGGCTGTAGTTGTAGAGTCCACCTCGCCAGTCGGTCGGATGATGTATTTAAGTTCATCAACCACTTTAAGGGTTGGTGATCGGTTACGGCTACGATGGATGATTCCTCAATGTACCTTCGGAATTTGGATATTAACCAGACGATGGCTAGGGCTTCCCGTTCCGCTCTACCGGTGTAAGCAGTCTGCTGGCATATTCAACGGGAGGTTCATCGGGGCCCTCCCCCTGTAGTAAAGCTACTACCAGAGCGTACCGGCTGGCGTCGATGTGGAGTACAAACGGTTGCGAGAGGTCCACTTGTCGTAGAATAGGTGAAGTCGTTAGGCGTTTTTTAAGAGTATCGAACGCCTGTTGTTGTTCCGGTCCCCATTCTCAGGCTGCGTCTCGCTTGGTTAGCCGGCTGAGGGAGCGAGCTATCCCCGCGAATCCCTTAACAAATCGCCAGTACCACGAACAGGTTTGTAAGAATCCTTGGAACGTTATCTTGTCCGTCGTCTGCATCTAATATTCCAGAAACAAATTTAAATACAGAACCTAGGGCATTGACTAAACCTCGTTTTTTCGCATTGTAGGGGGTGTTAGTATATCCGGTTGTATTTTGAGTAATTTATCTTTTAATTCTTCTCCTTGTTGTTGTAAGTAATTGATTTCGCGCAATAACTCTACATCTTTAGAGTTGACTATGGTTTGAGATAATAATTCTTCAATTTTTGTTAATTCTTCGCCAAATGGTTTTAATGAATATTTATATATAAACGTGTGATGACTCACTTGTACTCGCCCATTGCCTAATTTAAATGGTAGAATACCTGCATTATTAGTAAGGTCTTTAATTTCCATTCGTTGTGCGAAAACTTGCTAAATGATTGTTATAAAAAAGATTTTAATGATCCAATACTTCATCTGCAACAAATTTAATAATACAATTTAGGTACGCTGTGTCTTTCTTAGGGGTTTTAATTCTTGTTTGTGATAAATCTGACCTTTTTGGGTTTTGAGTTTGCATCCTGTCTTCTTGCACAATTTCTTTTTTAAAATCTCTTATATGCATCTTTAAATATACTGGTTGATATTCTTTTATGAATAAAAATTCTGAGCGTTTTATATTTTGGTTTTGAATTTGTTCTTTCTGGTTGATTAAATTTTCCGATACTAATTCACATAGAGCCTGAATTTTATCGTAACTTTCGGTGGTATACTGGTGGTAGTAACTTTCGTTAAATACTTTCAAAATGTCATTTGTCTCTATGTGTCCGAAAAGTAATTCAGTAGGTTTGCACTTGGTTTAGAATGAATGCTTCTGTTATAAAAAATAACTGCCTTCTCGAATGAATTATTTTTGAGTACTGTGGTTTTAGAGGCGGTTATAGTTTTCATTATTTCTACTAAAGTACCGTGNTTGAAACTTAGCTAAGTAATTTTGAAAACGGGTTAATTGGCCTTTAATAGTACCCCTTTTTGAGATAAAAGTTCCCAAATCCATATTTTAAAACGATTTGACGCAAACGAATGTAAAGGTAATAAAAATATAGGAAACTTACAGGACAATGGCCACTCTTTGATTGTGTTGCACACGTTGATGATGGTAAGCAGATGAAATAATTTGATGATCACTACGTTGAATGGTTTCGAAATCGAACTCACGTAAATGCCTTAACTTCGACAGTCACTTGCAGAAGAAAGTGGAACCGGAAGTTGAATACCATGAACTCCAACAGCAACTAGGGAAAATGAAGTGGAACCGGAAGATTTTAGATAAACTTCGACGATCACTACGTAGGCTGATAAGGACAAAATTGGAGCCGGAAGTTGAATGCCTTGAACTCCAAATTACGAAGAAAAATGCAGTGGAACCGGAAGTCTTCAACTTAACTTCGACGATCACTCAGACCAGGAACATAATCGACCCCAAACGACGGTCACCTCAAGAACAGAAGTGGAACCGGAAGATGTGTTTACGTGAAACACCAACCAGCACAGGAATACAATTTGAACCGGAAATTGTTCACTTAATTTCGACGGTTGGTTTTTTCACAGTCACTAGTGATCACTACACAAAATTAACTTCCAAAGTTGCTAAATAGATCCGGCTCGAAGCGCCAATGTTTTGAATTAAAAAACACTTCAATAAATAAAAACACGATGGTTCTTAACAAATCTATTTAATCTATTACAGCTCGTTCGGAAGAGATGATTTTCCTGTGAAGGTGGTCGATGAACTATATCTCATTGAGAAAGATAGGGAACTAATATAGTCACAAGTATATAACATGATAAATATACAAATAAGTTCTGAAAAGAAGGTACAACAAAATATATATATACAAAAGAAGAGGCTATATACAAGAGGTAAATACAACACAGATACAACAATAGATTCAAGAGATTCAAGGGGTGCAGATGGTTAGACATTCTAGGAAGGAAGGTATAAGGGAAATTTGGCAATAAAAATGAAAGTAGAAAAAGTCACGTACAACTAATAAATAGATGGTAATAAGTTCAAGATGAATAAACAACGGGTCCAAAAATGTTGAAGAAGTTGTTGTAGTATTTGAAACCGTGATAGTCTTGGTTGGGGAATGTCTTTCACGTCCGGATCAGGTAGTGAAGTTGGAGATCGTCCAATCAAAAAATGGCCAGGAGTTAATGGGTTCAAATCATTAGGATCGGAAGATAAGGATGACAAAGGACGGGAATTTAAAATACATTCAATTTGCGTCAATAGCGTATAGAAATCTTCAAATGTTAAATTTGCTGTACCTACAACTCGTTTTAGGTGTGTCTTAGTAGATTGAATACCCGCTTCCCAAAGTCCTCCAAAATGAGGCGATCGAGGGGGAATATTGTGCCAATTAATCCCTTCGGTTGACAAATTATTAATAAATTTTTCCTGATTTTGATTTATAAATTTGTGTAAGTTTTTAATTTCAGCGTTAACAATGAAGGGTCCTAATAAACCTAACGGATCAAAAATACAAGCTGTTGTTGACAAAATTGTTCGCTTTGTAATTGACTCGGGAATGTTTACAGGTTTGGAATAATGAAGCATATCTGTATTCGGATTCCCAATTATACCCAGTGTTTTTTCGCTACTATCACTACCAATTACCATATTTTCTTGATTTCCACTCTTCCCTTCGATTTCATTTACTATCTCTAAATTGTTTGATGACCACTTACGGAGTTCAAATTTACCCTGACTTAATATATATGTGATTTCTTTCTGAATGGTTTTAACTTCATCAATATTGCTACCACCAGTAAGAAGGTCATCGACGTAGAAGTCATTATGAATAATATTACATGCTACTGGAAATCTATCACTATTTTCTGTAGCTAATTTATTTAAACACCTTATAGCAAGAAATGGGGCTGACGCTGTACCATAAGAAACTGTATTGAGCTCAAAACATTTTAATCTATGACGTGGTTCTTCTCTAAAAAATACTCTTTGATATTTTCGCTGTGATTCATCTACTAATACTTG